TTAATTCTGTACAAGTTCATTTATTTACATCATTTCTAGATTCCATCCTTAAATATACTAAATACAAGAAATATGTAAGACAGTCTCACAGGCATGAGGAAAAAACTGTCAGTACAGGTCTTCAAATCCAAAAGTCAGACAATTATGGAAAAACTGCAGGCTTACTTGCACCTTGTAAAATGATGCAGGAATTTAGATTTAGATAGTAGGGAAAATTTAAGACTCGTTTGAATCTAAAATACAAACACATTAAAATACTGGAGCTCATAATCTAACAGAAAATATATCTTCAGAACACTTCAGACTTCCTAAGAATACAATGATAAAAAGGAAAAAGAACTTATATTTTCTATTAAAGACATGCAAAAGTATATAAACTTTAAAAATAAATACATTCAAAGTAAAAAAGCAATATTTGGCTCTAAACAGAACATTTTGTTCTCACCCAGCTGTGTATGTAATCCATTGCTGGCTGTCACTCCCTCATGGTTATCTTTCCGCCAAGGACTTTCACCCGGCATCAGTTCCATCATCTGTTGTACTCCATGAAACTAAACATCTACGGTTCTCCGTTCCTTTCTAATAACAGTTTGTGGGAGGTCTCTCCCAATATTTATATTCCTTTGGTCTGCATCAGTCAGCAAAAATCTTCCCAAGGCTTGGGTTTCCCAGCTTCTGAGAAGCTCAGATGATGGGGATCAAACAATTTGGTCACCTCCAACCCAGTGCACTCCAGGGCTCGAAGAGATAAGAGCTTGAATAACTCAAAGTACGAACTAAATTTCCACTCCTTTCAACAATCCCTGCCATTACAAAGCAATGTACTCTCAATACAATAGCATAGAAATGCCTAGTTATTCATAAATACAGAATGTGTATTCAATGGTACCCTCTTTAAAACTCAATTACTATTATTTATGAGGGTAAAGGCTTCTAAAAGAAATGACAGCTTTTCTCTCTTTACTACTTGCCTTTCTTTCATCATTTAGCCTTAGAACATCCATCCTTTTTTCTTTTTACACTAATTATGTAAAAGCTTTGATTGCAGAATATATGCTTATTCTCATTTCACTTAGCACAAGGTTCCACGTCTATTTTTTCATGTCTCTCTGCACTCCACTTTTCTCTTTTCTCTATTTTGTATTACATCAGCATTTGGTGCCTTAGATCAGTGGTTCTTAACCTTTGTTACTCGGATGGTTTTGAACTGCAACTCCCAGGAACCCCAGCCAGCACAGTTGGTGGTGAAGGCTTCTGGGTGTTGCAGTCCAAAACTCCTGAGTAACCCAAGGTTAAGAACCAGTGCCTTAGACTTTCCAGCACAAAATTGAATGAGCTCCTTATCCTTTGTTAACTTGAGAGTTCTGAGTAAAGCTGTTTCCACATATGTTGTTTCTCCCCAGTGTGAGTTCTTTGATGTGACCAGAGGGTACTACTGTGACTAAAGCTCTTTCTACATACCATGCATTTATGTGGTTTCTCCCCAGTGTGAGTCCTTTGATGTGACCTAAGGGTATCACTTTGACTAAAGCTCTTTCCACATTCCAAGCATTTATGTGGTTTCTCCCCAGTATGAGTCCTTTGATGTAACTTAAGATGACCACTGTGACTAAATCTCTTTCCACATTCCAAACATTGATGTTGTTTCTCCCCAGTGTGAGTTCTTTGATGTGACCAGAGGGTACTACTGTGACTAAAGCTCTTTCTACATACCATGCATTTATGTGGTTTCTCCCCCGTGTGAATTCTTTGATGTCGCCTGAGGGCACTAATGACACTAAAGCTCTTTCCACATTCCACACATTTATGTGGTTTCTCCCCAGTGTGAGTCCTTTGATGTGACCTAAGGTCACCACTCTGATTAAAACTCTTTCCACATTCCATGCATTTATGTGGTTTCTCTCCAGTGTGAGTCCTTTGATGTGACCTAAGGTCACCACTCTGATTAAAACTCTTTCCACATTCCATGCATTTATGTGGTTTCTCTCCAGTGTGAGTCCTTTGATGTGACCTAAGGTCACCACTCTGATTAAAACTCTTTCCACATTCCATGCATTTATGTGGTTTCTCTCCAGTGTGAGTCCTTTGATGTGACCTAAGGTCACCACTCTGATTAAAACTCTTTCCACATTCCATGCATTTATGTGGTTTCTCTCCAGTGTGAGTCCTTTGATGTGACCTAAGGTCACCACTCTGATTAAAACTCTTTCCACATTCCATGCATTTATGTGGTTTCTCTCCAGTGTGAGTCCTTTGATGTGACCTAAGGTCACCACTCTGATTAAAACTCTTTCCACATTCCATGCATTTATGTGGTTTCTCTCCAGTGTGAGTCCTTTGATGTGACCTAAGGTCACCACTCTGATTAAAACTCTTTCCACATTCCATGCATTTATGTGGTTTCTCTCCAGTGTGAGTCCTTTGATGTGACTTAAGGGCATCACTGTGACTAAAGCTCTTTCCACATTCCATACATTTATGTGGTTTCTCCCCAGTGTGAGTCCTTTGATGTAACTTAAGATAGCCACTGTGATTAAAGCTCTTTCGACATTCCATACATTTATGTGGTTTCTCCCCAGTGTGAGTCCTTTGATGTGACCTAAGG